GATCCCCTTCCTAGTTCTTCCTTGAAACCATCTGTTGCTTTGTAAAGATCTTTGTAAGCAAACTGGATTAAATTACATTCCAAAGCGACATTCTTCGTGCAAGTTCCAACTAATATCTCCTTTTTCAAGGCAAAGAAACTTAAGCATTTGCAACCAAACAATATGAAGCTGACAAGCACAGAGCTACCAAAGAGTGCAGACATGACAACAATAATTGTGGTTTGCTTCTTTTGTGCTCTACGGACAGCAACATCAACATCAGGGAAACTCTCAAGTGAGACATTTTTCCTCAATTTAAGGGAAGAAATGGACTTAATACTTGCATCCCGTCTCCCGTTGGAGAGTGGTAGCCTTTTCTTCCAGCAATCATTGCGTGCTCCAAACACAACTAACACACAAAGGCAATCTTCCAGGCAAGAATTTCTACACTCTTGATCGTTTGAAGTCAGAAAACGCTCATAATCATGCATCGGCCAGTTAGTATTTTGAATATCTACCATTTCATACAGGCTATGGTTGGAATTGTGACCACCTTCTTCTTCTTCACAACTTGGTGTGATATCTGGTTTACAGTTACCATACTCATCATTTGGGTCAATCAAAGAATATCCCAGTGGACAATTACAACTTGGCCTTCCATTAGATTTAAGTGAGCAAATACTGTTGTATCCACAAATTCCAGAGCCAAACATTTCTTCATGTAGAATGGAAGTACAGATATTTTCAGGTAATACATACAGGTCTCTCCAGCTTCCATTGGCAACTCCAGGGCCCTTGGGGTAAGAACTTACAGTCAAAACTCCATCAAAATTAATGGTGGCTTTGTAATAAAAAGCCTCCGCAGGGTTACCAATCAACTCTGTAATGTTAACTTTGGCTCCACTATTTTTCAGCACATACAGGAATCCATGTTCATCAAAAATCACTTCGTTACCAGAATTCTGTGTGCTCGCAGGGTCAGCAGTGTTGCTAATATAATATGCATCATATGAATAGCTAGGGGGCGAACTCATAGTGTTTAAAACAGCATTTCCATCTCCAAGCAAACGAAATTGAAATCTTCCAATTGAGAAGTTACCTTGCGATTTGCGAGAGGAGATGACGCCTCCAATCTCCAATTTCTGCGTCGGAAGCAACGTGTCTGTTGGATAGGTGAAGCTCT